AATGTGAGCATTTTGCCATATTTAAACATAATAGGTTGTTTTTAGAAATTAATCTTTTTCTTTTTTAAGCTTTCAAACTTAACTCCTAACTCAAAATTTTCTTTTTCTAAATCATTTATTTTGATTTTTGAAAGTTCTAAATTATTTTTCAAAATTTCATTTTGATTTTCAAAATTTCATTTTGATTTTCAAAATCAACTTTTGCTTTCAAAATCAAATTATCTTTAATTTTGAGTTTTGAAATTAATTTCGTATATTTGGAATTCATGGTCTCAAATCCCAATTATAACATATTATAAGCATCTTGTAACTCATCAAAAGTAATGAATTAAATTCATTTGAGTTAGAAGATACCTCGAATTCTTCTTGAGTGGTCATGAGGCATAGGTTGACTACTTCATCTTCATCACTCCAAGATGCAACAAATGCCTTTTTCCCCTTTTTCTTTAGAAGAGGACATTCATACTTGACATGCCCTCTCTTTGACAATCGAAACATATCGGGGGGCTCTTCTTCTTGGTTGATTCATGTTTCACTTTCTTGGAAATCATGAATCCCTTGAGTTCCTTCAAGAGCTTGACCGTCTCTTCTTCTTGTTCATCATCGTCTTCATCCACCTCATCACTTGAATCTTGATAGCTTTCATTGGTGGATTTGAAGGTAATGCCTACCTCTTTCTTCTTCTTTTTCTTCTTGTTTTTCTTCTTGTTTTTTTCTCTTCTCTTCTTCATCTTCCTTCACCATCATCTCATGAGTGAGAAGGGAACCAATTAGCTCGTCGAGAGTGAGAGACTTTATGTTTCTTGCTTCGATAATGGTCGTCTTCTTTGATTGTCACTCCTTTCGAAGAGAGTAGATCATCTTCTTCACAAGCTTCTCATTTGGGATTACTTCTCCATATCCCTTGAGACCATTAACAATCATGAAAAAACTATCATTCATAGCTTTGATGTCTTCATCGGGTTTCATCTTGAAGTTCTCGTAGCTATGGTTGAGAAGACTTTTCTTTGATTCCCTCATTTCGTTGGTTCCTTCATGAGTGACTTGGAGCTTATCCCAATCTCTTTGGCACTGGAACAAGATAAGATTCTTCCATATTCATTTGGGCCTAAAGCACAAAATAGAATATGTATAGCCTTAGAATTAAGATGAAAATTTTTCTGCTCTTCTCTACTCCAATCGTTGTACTTGCCGGGTGGAGAGAAGTAACCGTCCATGATTGAGTTCCAAGATCCTAGATTGTAGGATTGAATAAAGTACATCATCTTATTCTTCCAATGTGCATAATTTGCTCCATTGAAGAAGGGTGGCTTGTTGACCGGTTGTGAATCCATAATAGGATATTCTTCAAGATAATAAGCACCGGAGGAAAAGGTCATTTCTTTTTCGGTTGTGTCGGGAATTGGTAGAGCTTCTTCGAGGATCGTCTCAAGGTGGTAAAACCTTCTTAACGAGTTAGGCTCTGATGCCAATTGTTGGGATTTTCGGAAGCTCGAATTGACAACCAGAACTGTTTGCAAAGAGGAGTTGGAACGGTTTTGTGTTTAGGGAGTAAGGAGATTGAAAGATAAAGAATTGCACAGCGATTTATAGTGGTTCGACTTTCTCAACCGAAGTCTATGTCCACTACCTTAGCTCCTCACCAAGGATTTTCCAACAAATTCACTAATTTGTTCTTTCTTTTGAGGATAAAGAGTAACCTTACAAACTCCCTAGTTTTTCCGGGCTAAACTAGAACCTTTCCCTAGCTTTTACACGAGATAAGCTAGAACCTTTCCCCTTTACAAAAGGATAAGAAATGTAAACAAGAAAACCTCTCTAAGGTAGGTGTTTACAAGAATTAAGCTCACAAGAACAAAATATTTACAAGAGAAAGATGAAATAAGAATGAAAAACTCTTCTCTTGTGTTTGATTGCTTGGATAATTGTTCTCTTACTTCTTCAAGTGTCCTTAGCTTGTTTATAGCTTGGAATGTGTTTGAAGTCGTATATAACCGTTGGGGATGTTTTGGAGCCGTTTGGGGATGAGAATTAATTAATAAAACTACTTGGAGCATGGGGGGAATCGGTACCCCTCATAGGGAATCTGTTCCGTAAGTATAAAATTCAAATATTTCGACCGTTAAACAGGGGGAATCGCTTCCCTCCGAGTATTCTGTTTCTCTCAGAGCCAAACTATTCAGGGGGAATCGGTTCCCTCTAGACAATCTGGAATTTTGGCTTTGAAACGGTTCGAAATACTTTGTAAAATTGTTTTGAAATTATTTTAAGATTAAAACTTAATTTTACACTTGAGTAAGGATTAAAAATGACATTTGAAAGATTTGAAGTAATATTTTGATATTCGAATAATTATATCGAATATACTTAGAAAATCTTTTGGAAAATCTTAAAATTCATTTAACTTAATTTGTTATATCGAAATATCAAAATGTTTTCAACATCCCGTAACATAAAATCTTATGTTTGTATCTGATTGTATCTTTCATACCATTGAACTTTCGGTTGCTTCAGTTATATCATTGAACCTTCGTTTTAACTTCAATTCAATTGTAGCATTAAATTTTATTTGGTTAAAATAATGACATGATCCTAAGTTGGTCAAGCGGTTAGGTGTTATGCTTTTCTTTATCTAGATTAAATAAGAATCGACTCACAATTCTAACATGAGGAATATTCGACCTGATACAGACTCACAAGGCTTCCAATTACATATGGATATTGGAATGTGCTCCAAGATAGAAACTTTCTTTGAGGAATATTGCATGAATTCACCCCTTTATAATTTGATCGATAAGTCATTTAGTAGAAAGTAAATCGTTTGCAGTGCCTAACCCCAAAAATAATTAATGGTGGGATGATCGTTGTATAATTAAATAATCTTAAGGTGATTGGATGGCTATTAAATCTTCAAAAAGTAGAAAGTAAATCGTTTGCAGTGCCTAACCCCAAAAATAATTATGGTGGGATGATCGTTGTATAATTAATAATCTTAAGGTGATTGGATGGCTATTAAAGCCGATCTTCAAAAAAAAAAACGATGACCAACTTGAATGGGATTTTATTGAAGAGATTCTTGTGGAGGTGGGGATGCCTCCTTTGTTCAGCGAGTGGATTATGATTTGTGTCAAGACTGCTTTTATCCAAGTCCTTTGGAAGGGGATACTTCGGAGAGTTTCAAGTCATCAAGGGGTATTCGTTAGGGGAGCCATTATCTCCTTATCTCTTCGTCCTATGTATGGAGCGGTTATCGCATGCTATTAACCGACGGGTTTCTTCTGGGTCTTGGAAGCAAATTCATCTATCCCGGGGAGGACATGGTATTTCGCACCTGTTTTTTGCAGATGATCTCATCCTCTTTGCTGAAGCATTTTCGGTGATTAAGGAAGTCATGGTGGGGTTCTTGCAGATGATCAATTGCTTCGGGTAGTTGGGACTGGAATAAGATTAGAAGCATCGTTATGGATCACGCTTGCAATAAATTGCTGCTATCTTCCCGCCGAGTCCTTTGCTTGGTGTTGACAAACCGGGGTGTCGCTGGGATGTCAAATAAATTCACAGTGAAGTCGCCTTATATGAGCCTGGTTACACCAACGCATAATGATGCTATGTTGTGGAGAAGTATTTGGAAGCTTTAAATTCCAGAGGGTGAAACTTTTCTTTGGATGGCCGTTCATGGTAAACTCATGACAAACGAGGAGTGCGTCCGATGGCACGTTGCAAGCTCGCCCTATGCCCGTTATGCAATGCTGAAGTAGAGGATATAACCCATGCCCTTCGCCAATGCAATTTCGCCTTTAAAATTCGGAGAAGTGTTATCTAACCGGACAAAATGGGAGGCTTCATGTCGTTGCCAAATAATCTCGGGTTCTTAGCTAACATGAAAGGACAAGGTGCTTTCCCTATGAATACGGCTCACTGGGATGTTTTATTCCCTATTATTTGCTGGAAGCTTTGGAAAAGACGGTGCAACATTGTCTTCCAACCGGATTTTGTGGCGGGTGATGATTTATTGATTCAAAGTGTGCGGCTGAAGAATGAAGTCATTGCCGCTGCTGTCACCAACTCGAGTGACTCTAGCTTGGTAAGGGCGTCTGTTCAACGGAAAAAACCAGACCAGAATTGGATCAAAGCCAACACTGATGGTGCTGTGGGAGGCTCGAACGATATTGCTGCAGCTGGGGGTGTCCTAAGAGACTAATGGTACATGGATTCTCGGATTTTCTAGAAGCCTCGGCATTTGCTCAATTTTATATGCGGAATTATGGGCGATTCATGATGTTTTAGTTCATGCTTGGAATTTGGAAATACGAAGAATCGAGGTGGAAACGGATAGTGCAATGGCGGTGAATCTCATCATCACAGCCCCACTAGGATACAGGGAATACTATTGTCACGCTGATTTGTGATCTTTTAAAATGGAGCTGGGCTTCGAGAATTGGCCATACCTATCGTAAGGCGAATAAGGTAGCTGACAGGCTTGCTTCGATGGCTAGGGGAAACCGGTTGGAACCACGCTGTACCAAGAAGCCCCGTGTGAAGTTGCTACTTTAATAGTTGAGGATCAAGGCTCATAAGCTGGTCTTTGTTTCTGTTTTTCTGTTTTTCTGTATTAGCTAAAAAAGTAATCTTGAAGTGATTATAAAGTAACATCCATTTAGAATATTTCTTAATTATTGACAAAACACACGCCAGCATATACAACTGCTTGAACTCAAAATATGTAGGAAAAAAAAACATTTATCACTGAAACCTCTTGATGGATTCAATAATGTAAAAGATGGACTCTGTATTCTGTACAGCTTTCCATGATCAATGGTCCTGAGAGATTCCAACTTGGGGGCATCACCTTTCATGTTGCCAACTACTCGCACTTTTCGATGCCATTGGCAATGGCCACAACTTTATGTGCCAAATTTTGTGTAACCAGCAACACAACGAAACGTCAATGGACGTACAAACACTTGCAAAAAAGAAGAAGAAAAAATTTGCCAAAGCAAAAATAATGGCACCCAAAAATACAAACATTTGGCTCATGGTTCCTTTTGAGATCCATCTCCACCCATGTTACGGGCTTGCTGAAACTGGAGTGTATATTGTCTCTGAAGATCCCTTAGCTTGTCGAGTGGTTCCTGGAACGTCGGCCGGCACAGCGGATCACTGCTTTTCCCAATTGTTTAGATCGATGTATCAGACCACATTACATAAAAAGAAAACACACACACGCACATATATATATATATAAAAAGAGATAAGCACCTGTGCCAGCAACTCTCGATTATCGAAGCCCATCGTGGATCTACTTCCTTCGGGATCTCCAGCCTATGGTTCACGAACCCTACAGCTCCAATAACCTACATATATTCCATTATAAGACATTCTATTTAGCAGAGAGAAGTCGGTTCCATGATTTTCGCTTCTGAACTTGAATCGTTCTGAAAAAAAACTATACCTGCATCGAGTTGAGATTTTCCCAAGGTATCCTCTCAGTGGCCAGCTCCCATAATATGACTCCGAAACTATAAATATCAGACCTAAGTGTTTCCCAGAAATACAAGGTCATGAGTGAGAGAACGGGTGAATGTGATCGGACTGGGGGACTTGTACGTGAGTGAAAAAGAGAGAAGGGAGCAACATACTTTTCGTCTTAGAGCTCGTTATGAAGAATCAAGAACCTCAGGTGCCATCCATTGAGGCTACAAACAGACATGGTACTTTAAGCCAACCGAGAAACCAGAAAGACATGCATGCATCTCAGAAAATGATTAAGACTCGTTAGATTAGATGTTTCTTGATGAAGGAAATTAAAATTTTCAGTAAATACCGTTCCTTTCCCAGTCTTCACCGTGAGATATGTTTCGTGCTTGAGACGTACTAACCGAAATCGCCAACCTGTTCAAAATAGAATTCAATTAACCTTTAAGTACACAAATATTATCCTCAATTCTGAAATAAATAAACAGATTTGCATTTAAAAAAATGTAATGGCAAACCTTCACCGTCCAGTTCTTATCAACTAGGAGATTTGAAGACTTAGAAACAACTTAGAAACTCTCACGTTCAAAAATCAAAACCTCTCTAAAACCTATATTTTGGCCACCATGGCCAAACCATGAGATTTTTAGATAGAAATGAAGCTCTAAGGGAAGAGACTACCTTTCTTACCTTCAAATTTCCATACTAGCTTTTTAAGACGCTAAATCTTTCACCTTTGAAGCTTGCTAGAGAGGAAGAAGAAAAAGATTGAGAGGAGAAGTGATGAGGAAGATGACAATGATGAAGAAAAAGTGAAGAAGGTTTGTTCAGTCTTTCCCCGTTTACATCATCCATTTTAATTGAAATCAACTATTTTTTTAAACAAGGGTCTAATTACTCCCTTATTCCTTCCTCTTTTAAGCCTAAATAAAAAATACCATCTTTATTACTTTGTGGGTTTTCCTACAAGCCCAAATCTTCTCATTCTTGGACCAAAAGATTAAATTGAACTTATTTAAAAACTCTAAGCCCAACGAAAAAACTCGAAACTACTAACTCGATTTTCGGGGTGTTACAACTCTCCCCTCCTAAAAAGAATTATGTCCTTTAAATTTACCTGATTTAAATAAATGTGAGTACAGTTGTTGCATGTCCTCTTCAGTTTCCCATGTTGTTTCCTCCACTCCATGACTCTTCCATAAGACCTTAACTAGTAGAATGGTTTTGTTTCTCAGCTTCTTGACCTCTCGGGCCAAGATCGTTATCGATTTCTCGATGTAGAACGTCTTTGCTCATTCAATTCGCTCCAACGAAATCACATGTGACGAGATGATCGGTACCTCCAAAGCATGAGCACATGGAACACATTATGAATGCATTCCATCTTAGGCAGTAAAGCTAGTCGGTAAGCTACATGACCTATTCTCTCGAGAATCTCATAAGGTCCAATTAAGCGCCGGTCAACTTTCCTTTTTGGCCAAACTGTAGAACTTTTGTCCAAGGTGACACTTTAAGGAATACCTTGTCACCTACACTAAACTATTCCTTCTAATTCAAATCCGCATAAGACATTTGTCTATCAAATCTTCCTCTACTCGACTCTAAATCAACCGTACTTTATCTTCTACCTATCGGATCAACTTTAGACCAACCAACTTCTTTTCGCTAAGTTCAGTCCAACACAAAGGAGTCATACACTTTCGTCCATACAACGCCTCATAGGGTGTCATCTGAATGTTGTTTTGGTAGATGTTGTTGTAAGCTAACTCGACTAATGGGGGATGATTCTCCCAACTACCTGCAAAATTAATAACACAGCATCACAACATATCCTCAAGGAACTGGATCACCATATCTGATTGCCAATCAGTTTAGGGGTGGAAGGTAGTTATATAATGTAACTTAATCCCTAAAGCCTCATGCAATGCCTTTCAAAACCTCTAAGTGAACCGCATGTCTTTATCAAAAATGATTGTTGTGAATACCCCATGAAGTCTCACAATCTCTCTGATGTATATTTGAGCTAACATTTTTAAAATGAAGTACATTCGTATTGGTAGAAAGTGGACGGATTTGGTCAATCAGTCCACTACTACCCAAACGACATCATGATTTTGATGAGTCCTTGGTAATCTGGTGACAAAATTCATGGTCACCACATTCCATTTCCATTGAGGTATTTGAATCGGCTTAAGTAAATAGGAGGAAACCTGATGCTCCATTTTTTACTCGCTGACAAACCAAGCACTTAAAAACGAACTCAGATACCTCTCTCTTCATACCCAGCCACCAATACAAATTTTGAAGTTCTTGGTACATCTTTCACTTCTGGGGTGCACAGAAAGTAGACTATAATTGTCTTCACCAAGTATTCTCGCCCTCAAATCGAGTTAGCTGGTATATAAAGTCGATTTTGGAAATATAACATGTCCACATCTTTCAATTAAAACTCCCGAAACTTACCTCAATGGACTCACTCTCTTATCAAACATTCATTTGTCGCTTGCATCTATTTTAATTTTCTAACTAACTCTGGCTCAACTTAGAGTTCTGCCACTAAGCCTTCATCCGAAGTCAAACTCATCCTACCTAATAGTGCTCGGAGTTTTGTCATCGACTTGCGGCTCAAAGCATCAACCACTATATTAGCTTTTCCCAGGTGATAGTCTATGCCATAGTCATAATCCTTATGCAGTTCGACCCAACAACGATGTGTCAGATTCAATCTTTCTTAGTAAACATATACTTAAGGCTCTTATGGTAAGAGAAAATGTAGTATTTTCCCGAAGAGGTACTACCTCCAAATCTTTAAAGCAAAGATTATTACAACCAACTTTAGGTCATGGGTAGGGTAGTTACATTCATGCGGTTTAAGCTATCGCGAAACATACGCCACTACCTTCCCCTCTTGCATAAAGATACACACTAATCTATTCAAATATGTATCGTTAAACAAGGTGTATTCCTTTCTGGGCTCGATTTGTGTTAATACCAATGTTTGAGTAATAATTTTTTCAACTTATCGAAACTTTGCTGAAGATTTTCATCCTAAACGAAAGTCTCATCTTTTTGAAGGAGCTTGGAAATAGGAGCGACAATCATGAAAAATCCTTCCACAAAGTGACAGTAATACCTGATAAGTCCAAAGAAACTACACACCTCAGATACATTCTTCGGCGGCTCCTACTCTAACACAGCCTGAATCTTATGGGGATATACTCGAATACCCTCAACGGTTACCACATAGCCTAAAAATGACACCTCAGACAACCAAAATTTACATTTGTTGAACTTTGCATACAAATAACGTTCCTTAAGAGCTTGAAGCACAATCTGAAGATGACAATCATGATCCTCCTCTGACTGGGAGTAAACTGAGATGTCATAGATGAACACCACGACAAACTAATCCAAATAAGGGTGGAACACCTGATTCATTAGATCCATAAAAGTTGTGGCCGCATTGGTAAGTCCAAATAGCATCACCAAAAATTCATAGTAAGCATATCTTGTCCTAAACGTCATCTTGGCTACATCCTCATCCTTGATCTTCAGCTGGTAGAAACCTGACCTCAAATCTATATTGGAGAACACTCTCTCTCCTATAAGCTAATTGAATAAATCATCTATCATCGGAAACAAATACCAGTTCTTGATTATTAATTTGTTTAATTGACGATAGTCGATATATAGCCTCATCGACCCATTCTTTTTCTTTACGAATAACATCAATGCTCCCTATGGTGATATACTTAGGCGAATGAACCCTTGTTCCAATAGCTCTTGAATATGCACCTTGAGATCCTTTAACTCAGTCGGTGCCATACGATACGTGGCAATGGACACCGAGGTTGATTCGAGTAACACTTCAATAATAAACTCCAGCTCGCGATCTGGCGGTAGTCTGGGCAACTCCTCCGAAAATACCTCAGGGAAGTTCCTCACGGTACGAATGTCTTCAATCGTTGGGCTTGGAATTCAAGTGTCATCATATGGGTTAGAAATGCCTCACAACCCTGACCAACTAATCTTTGAGCAGCTAAAGCTGAGATAATTCTAGAGGTGCCATGGAACTCGCCATTATCTTCATCACTTTGATTCCATCATTGCGTCTTTGTTTGAGTTGTCTAGCCTTGCACTTTAACCTCGAATCATACTTGGTCTACCAATCTATCCCAAAGATCGCATCAAACTCTTGAAAATATAACACCATAAGGTTAACGGAGAAATCTTGACCTTGAATCTCTACTGGACACCAATGATTGACCTTTTCCACAAGCACATCTAGTTCTAAAGAGCTAAAAAAATCTCATCTTAACCTCAAGATCATCTAACAAAATACTTTACTCTTAGACAAGCTCATGACACAAGTACGAATGAGTAGAACCATGATCGATTAATACTATAACTAGAGTGCCATAAATAGTAAAGATATATGAAATTACATCTAATGGCTCACAGTCCTCTTGGGCCCTCACTGCATAACACCTCAAAGTAACTTTACCTCGAAGTGTCTTACTCTGCTTCCCTACTGTCAAGCTACTACCACTATAGACCAATCATCGGCCTCTCTGAATCAACTGAGCTGATCTCTAAGGAGACAGTAGTGATGCGCTACTTCCCTCAGGGAAGTCTCGAATGAAATACTCTAACAACCATTAACCGAATCAAGCCTTTGTAACCGGATAACACTCATTCGAATACCACTTTCTGTAATGCTTGTACTGTAGGGGTTGCACTCCTCTACATTACCCCGATCCCCAGTGGCATCCAGAACTCTGTCCAGTCCTTATGGACTGTGATGGTGGGGACATCCTTCCTCCACGAGAGTCATTGGCCCTCTTGGCCGAAGAATGAGATAGCATTGAAGAATCTGGTCATCTCCGGCTCTGGCCTCATGAATCACCCATCATACGGGCCCTTCTCAACAGAATTCTCTCAATTACCTTGTCCTGGCAGGTTAGTTCTGCGAAAACTTGCGATGAATCAACAACTAACTGCATGAATATGACAATGTGAAGCCTCTATATGAACCTCCGACAATAGTGGTACTCAGTCGCTACTAACTCAGGTGCATAACGGTAAAGGCAAAGGTAGTCGCGCTCGTACTTCATCATAGATCGGTCTCCCTGGACTATATAGCTGAATCGGTCTCTTAGATCATCAATATGCGCCTCCCCAATATATTTATGCTTGAACTCCTCTAAGAAGTACTCCCAAGTCAGATTGTCTCCCACCAGTCGATGATATCACCCTTAAGTAATGCAGTGATGCATTTACCTTTCAGGGTAAGGTGAAGTTGTCTCAAAGTACAAAGGGTCTCACAGAGCCAGTGGTCGACGACTATTGGGTCATCATCACTAGTTTCATAGAAGTCTGTGGTCTTATAGCATCGGAGTTACTCTACATGTGACTCCTGGAGTTCTACGGGTGGTGAAGCGGATAAAGTAGGTGCGACATGTGCTCTCAAAATAGCTCACACAATATTCCTAAGGGCATCTATGAGATTCCTGAAGAAGGTGGCCTCATCAATCCTTGCATCCTCAAGGATGCCTCTATCATTAGTATCTGGAATGTACTCATCACTAGTGTCTCCGGCGAGTGAGATGTGACTCTCTTTACGATCATCATGGTTGGAAGCTGGGTTATCGACCATAACCTAAAGAGTTCAAAGAAGGGAGTTATTATCACCATTCCAGATAACCAAGTACATTGAAACTCTAGGGGCATGTACATTACCGACTCTTACTGACTCTAACCCGCGGGTCTTGGGAGCGATTGAACCTAACGCTCAGATAACACTAAATGTAACACCCAAATCTAATTTAAACGAAATCCGACGGGTTCGGGTATTACACGGGACCGCCGAAGTGGTTAACCCAAAATTTTTCTTAAGACTCGAATACAAAAAAGAGTCTATGAAAATACATGCACACTACAATAATCAAGACATACTCTGTTGCTGTTGAAATATGAAATCTGATAGATTGGCGATAAGCTCTCGACGTCTGGCACCTACTAACATGTGAACGAAAATAATTTTAAACGTTGAGCTACGGCTCAGTGCCACATACGACTTCACTATACTAGATGCATCGAAAAACTAGGAATGCTTAACAAGTTAAGTCATAATGCACCAAAATGCATTAAGCATAGATCAAGCATATGAATATGTAATAAACATCATGAAAATCATAATAAGGGTTTGCCATTAATTCACGGAAGTGCCTTAACACTAATACTAAAGTGCCTCAATACTGGTACAAAAGTGCATTTGCACTGATACAAAATCTATTTTGTTCAGACATGTTACCTTCTTATTTAAACTTCAGACAATGCAACAATTCTCATTAATTATTTTGTTCAAGATAGTTCTATGAAATAAGGATATGTTTAGATTAAAAACTAATATAATTTGTGTTTAAATTTTAATAGATTTATATTATATAAATAATTTTATTATTTTCTAATAAATAAATAAACCCTTTAAACTTTCTAAAAAAAGTTAATTAGGTTAAACTTTCTAAGAATTAACATGGAAAATATTAAACCTCACCTTAAAGGGGAAAAGATTTTTAGTACAATATAATCATAATAAAATATTTTATTTAAAATAATATATTTACAAAAATTATTAAAAAGTTATAATATATTAAATAATAAAAATATATATTTAAATTTTAAATAATAATTATTAACTCAAAAACTAATTAAATCAGATATAAAGAAATAATTACAATTAAGACAAAAACCAAAGCCAGTAAGGGGCCACTTATTCGTGGGCTTGTGTTACAGTACGACAAACATAACACACCTTTAATAACCATAAGAAAAAAAACATAACCCATCCCATCAAGCCATAAAACGACGCTGCTTTCAAGTATTCGTCAAGGCACGCGATATTTCTGGCGCGTAGTTAATACGTATTCATCAATAAACTTTCTAAGAATTAACCATCATACTACAAATTCTTTTCTATTTTGGTCATTATATATGTTACTTTATTTTCTTATTTTGGATATATATGATAATAAATTTAGGTTTAATGTATAAATAAGTGTTCAAATGTATCCATAATTAATTTTTAATTTCTAAAGAATTTTTGGTTGAAAATAAATGTCTAACATTTTATCCGTTATACTTTTATGTGTCTAACGTTAAAAAAGATTGTTTAGTGATGCGTGTCATATTTATTTTTTATTTTTTCAAAAATAAAATTTTATTTAAAAATATATATTTTTTAAAAATTGAACATGACACGTTTCATTTAACGATATTTTTTAATGATAGACACCTAAAAGATTGCTCAAATTATACATATTTTATTTAAGTGTCTAAACTTTTTCTTTCGGTCAATGTACTTGTATAATATTTTCTACATTATCATTTTAAATGTATGGTCCATTACAACTGTTAAAAAATTATTATCTAACATGCCACATTTGCTTTTTTTGATTTTTCTTTTAAAAACTTAAAATTATTATTATTTTTTAAAAACTTAATTTTAAAAATCTAAAAAAAATCCTTAATTTTAATACCATTTATTCTCGTCGTCAATCATCTTGGATCACTCGTCTTTCGTCGAACGATCACTCGTACATTGTTGCAACTATTAATTGATCATCACCCTTATTTATGATCGACTTGAACCCCTAAAATTAAATTTCTAAAACCACAAACCATAATCAACAACCACATATTAATGATGAACCTTTGGGTGGAAATATGTGATATGTTGCCTTTGCATTTATTTACGACATTGGTGATGACAGATCGACGATTTTGATGGTGGATGACGATAATAATTGATTGAAATTAAGGATTTTAGAGATTTGAGATTTTATTTAAGATTTTAAGGAAAACATTTGTTTAAATGATAATATTTTTTTTTAAAAAATAAAATTTCAAAAAATATGAACATGATATGTGTAGATAACGATTTTTTAAATGACTATTATAACATATGGACTTAAAATAGTAACGGAGAAATCACTAGTCATTTACATAGATAGAAAAAAAATTTAGGCACTCAAATGAAGACATATAATTTGAGCATTTTTTTATATCAAAAATAATTTTAAAAATATTTTAAAAAAACATTAACATTTTATAAATATTATCGATTTATTCATAATTTTAATTTTAAATAAAAATTATAGCATTAGTGATTAATAATTAATGTGACCAAAATAGGAGAGAGATAATAGTATGATCACTAATGATGTAGTTTAGCCAAGATACTGTGCGTGAAAATAAGATATAAAACGCTGCGTTGAATCCTCGGTTCCCTCATATTCTATTTCTCTCTCCATCGTCCTTCTCTCCTCCGTATCTCTCTCTCTCTCTGGAAACCCCAACAGGAAAAATACACACGCACAGCTCCTTCCTAGAATTCCTTTTTTTTTTTAAATTCATCTCGCGCGTGTCCCTCACTCGCTATCCCCTTCGAATTTCTATTTTCTAATTTGATTGGAATAAAAATTTTAGCGATTATCTTCTTCCACTCGATCCCCATTCCGACTTTAAATCTTCTTTTTAAGTTGAAGAAGATAACACTGAAGCCTCCTGAATGATTCGTTTTACTCCTGAAAAGAATGCAATCTCAGTAACACTTCTGGTTATTCTTTTCCCTTCTTCTCGAAATTTATTCCCTTTTAATTTTTTTCTGCATTTATCGCATTAATTGTCGAATTAGGCCAGTTTTTGTTTACCTTTTAAGTTTAGAATTTATGTTTATTGATTGTTGGCGGTGGAAATAATTTATGTTTAGGGTTTTTGATCTGTTCTTGCTATTACAGGCCTTTGCATTGTGAATTTTCTAATGCGTGGAAGGGTCTTTCTTGTTTCCGGTGACTGCCCTTCCATTTAGTCCACGTGGTACGTTGTAGATGTATTTTTTCCCTCTATTTTCAGTGCTTATGCTTTGATATTTGAATGAATTTGCTGTGAATTCCTTAATTGAGGAATCTATCGAGAGAACCCAGATGTTGAATTTTGATTTTAGTCCCGGCTGGAACCTCTTTGCTGTTATATTTTGTATATGTTCAATTTGGGGTTGGATGGTTTTGTGTTTATGATGAGATCTTAGTTTTTCCCCCCTCGAATAATTCAAATTGTGGTTTTGCATTGGACTGAAAGGATCTTTCTGCTGCACGTGTTGTTATTCAGTTCTTATTTATGTATTGTAGTCATGTGCAAATCAGGTAGAACTTGCCGCAAGTAATTTTGTTGATTGTATCGTTCTAATTTGCAGGTGATATGGCTCTCCAGAAATATGTTCCCTCCAGTGATTCTCCTCCTGTTAAGATGAAGCCTTTGCGTTTTTCCACTAAGGTGCAAGCTCAAATTGCAAATGCAGAGACAAATGATTCTGAGAAGCGGGATGCAGATGTTGACCTCAGAGAAGTTTACTTTTTGATTATGCATTTCCTTTCAGTTAGCCCTTGTAAAAGAACGTATGGGCAGCTTTGGAATGAACTGCTTGAAAACCAGCTTCTACCTAGAAGGTATCATGCTTGGTATTCAAGGGCAGGGGAACATAGCGGACAAGAAAATGATGATGGCATGTCATTTCCTTTGAGTTATGCGCAGTTGGTGCAGAGGTATGGGATTAGCTTTTAGTTTTGTTTCAAGTGATTATAAAATGTCTGTTGAATAGTGGTAAATTTGTTTTCTGTTTGTCACTTCAAATGACAAAAGCAACTTATTTTATAACCAAGTAGTAACAGGCATTTTCTCTGTTTCATGCAGATTTTATGAAAAGTTTGACTTGTTTTTTGTGGTATTTATGCTTGTGTAGGAATCCTCACATTGAAACAGATCACTTGATAAAGCTTTTGAAGCGGTTGTTATTAACTGCACCTTCCCAATCTGAAGGCAAAAGTGCGAGACACATTCCAAATGCCGCTGATGTTCCCACTCTTTTAGGAACAGGCTCCTTTTCTCTTTTGAGCTGTAGGTGGTTTTATTTCAGCCATGGAACATATTTCTTCACACTTTATACCTGGAAAGCATTTGCAAAAAAAAATCAGATGAAGTCCATTACTTTTTGGTTTTTGGGATATTACTTCATTGGATTATAAAATAGCTTCTCTTGCTCATGCTTCCATTTTTCTATCTTCATGAATTTCCTTCTGCCACTAATTTTATGTGATTTTCAATTTTGATTTTCTTCCCATCAGATGATGGCAACAAAGGAAAAAGTGAAGCCAAACATCCTCCTGTTCATATGCGCTGGCCTCATATGCATGCAGATCAGGTTCGTGGGCTGAGTTTAAGGGAAATTGGGGGTGGTTTCACAAGACATCATCGGGCACCATCTATTCGTGCAGCATGTTATGCCATTGCAAAACCATCAACTATGGTGCAGAAGATGCAAAATATCAAGAGGTTGCGAGGACACCGGAATGCTGTCTATTGTGGTATGATTTTTTGTGTTTTTATATATTTAGAATAATCATATCCCTGCCAATGAGGCCTTAGCTTTATGGCTAGGTTGAGGCCCTGGGACCCTTGATGTCCTAGGTTTGAGTCCCACATGTGTGGGTTCTCAGTCCAGATTTATTCTGGTTTAAGTGCCACTATGTGTGGTCCCTGTCTGGATATATTTTGGTTGTTAGTCCAATTATACTTGTAGTGATTAATTCTTGTGATAGTTATTTAGATATGTATTATCTGTATTTGCAATTGTGATTCTAAATGTACATATAATTTCAAAAAAAGAACATGAATAATCATATCCCTGAGTAAACTTGATACATTGTGCTTCAGATTTTGGTTAAATAGGCCTATTTGTTTGTCATAAATTAAGCATGCATACCTGCTTGTCAGCCCATCCCTCTCCCCCTTCTCCCCAAAGGAAAAAAGGCAGCCTTGCAAAGAAGAGCTTAATATACTTGTGAGCTCATTAAAGATTATTTGCCTATATATTTTACAGTTTCTGGCTTTTTGTGGTCTCTACTGTCTTTTCATTCTGTATTTGAACACATTATTTGATAATTTACTTGCTTGCACTCACGAGCCCCGAACTTGACGAGATTTTTCTTAGCATCATGAACTTGAATTTGTTTTCTATACTACTTGCAGCAATATTTGATCGATCTGGGAGGTATGTAATTACTGGTTCTGATGACCGTCTTGTGAAAATTTGGTCTATGGAGACTGCATATTGCTTGGCTAGCTGCCGCGGACATGAGGTGAATTTTATGAGCCATAATGCACATCTTGAAACTGTTGTTGTTGTTGGTTCTATCTTTGATTTCTTTAGTTACACGTTACATAAATTCTATTTGGATGAAAGGGTGACATAACTGACCTGGCTGTCAGTTCCAATAATTTTATGGTGGCGTCCGCTTCAAATGACTGCATTATTCGTGTTGTAAGAATCCCTTGCATCTTATTGATGCTTGCTATTCTTGCTTCAAAGTATCATATTTTTATTCGATGATAGTGATTTTGTTTCCTGCTTGCTGACAGTGGCACTTGCCAGATGGACAACCAATTTCAGTTCTTAGAGGACATACTGGAGCTGTTACTGCCATTGCTTTTAGTCCTAGGCCAGGCTCTGTATATCAGCTTCTATCGTAAGATTGGCTCCTAATCTCTCTTTATTTTTTTTTCTGCAATAGTCATAAAAACTGCCAAATTCCGTTATCTTTGTCACCCTCAACTAGAAGTTAAGTAGTTGGCCTAAGAATGTCATATAATACAAGTTCAAATTTCCCAACAATGGCTTCTCCCCCCGAAAAAAGCCCAACTATGAATCATTCAAAAGCTGTCCTTTCTAATATTTTCAGTTTTATCGGTATTACAGTATGGTTATTTTTCCCTACTGATTGCTTTGCATTATTTTATTTGCTCATTTTCGCTATTGTGTTTTTCTTGTAAATCTTTTAGTTGAGTCCTTCACTTTTGTGGTTAATATCACTATTGTTGTTTGCTTCTGGTACATGGTTTCTGTTTGCATTGAAGTTAAATGTAGGGTTTCTTGACTTTGTGCAGGTCATCTGATGATGGAACTTGTAGGATATGGGATGCTAGGAATGCTGAAATCCGTCCCCGGATATATTTTCCAAAGCCTTCAGATTCTTTAGCTGGTTTGTTACCTTAGTATTCATGATTTTAATGCTCCTTGATGGATGAATTTTACATAGCAATGCTTAAATGGTTGCAGGAAAGAACAACTGTTCATCTTCGACTTCTATACAACAGAGCCATCAAATTTTTTGTTGTGCTTTCAATGCTAATGGAACTGTCTTTGTCACCGGTAGCTCGGACACTTTAGCTAGGGTACACATTATGCCTGTTGCTATGAATTCCTATTCCAAGATGTTGTCCGGCTTTACCATCTCTTTTGTAATTGTGCTAGTTTAGGTGTACAATTTTATTTTGTCGATCCTGCAGGTATGGATTGCTTCTAAACCAAATGCAGATGATTCTGACCAACCAATTCGTGAGATTGATGTGTTAGCTGGACATGAGAATGATGTAAATTATGTGCAATTCAGGTCTGTGTATCATACTCTATTGCTCAGATATTTTATTAATAGAATATGAATTTCAATTTCAATTTACATTACTGCTTTAAATTGCAGTGGTTGTTCTGTTTCATCAAGATATTCTACAGCAGACTGCTTGAAAGAAGAGAGTGTTCCAAAATTTAGAAACTCCTGGTGGGTATTTTCTTCAAGTCTTGTATTCTTGTGTGTGTGTGTGTATGTTCTTTTTTTTTGTGTGTGTGGGTCCGTTCCTCGAGAATCCTGTAGATGACCAGTTGTTGTTAGGGACTTCTTAGTTTCCACTTTATAATTAGACTTTATAGTTTGAAGAAGAATATAACAGTTCATTTCATTTTCTGATGTGATCTGTGACATTCCAGGTTTTCTCAAGATAACATTGTTACCTGCTCCCGTGATGGCAGTGCAATTATTTGGATTCCAAGATCTCGAAGATCACATGTAACTATAAACAGTTCCACCTTAACTGCTTTTTTCCTAGGCCTTCATCATTTATTAAGTTTATGGTTTCATCCTTTTTCCCCTTAATGCCTGTTTCATTTAGAATCTTCTATTTCTGTTACATGTTTCAGGGTAAAGTGGGTCGCTGGTGTAAACATTATCATCTTAAAGTTCCACCCCCACCATTGCCTCCACAACCACCAAGAGGGGGTCCACGCCAGAGAATTCTTCCAACTCCTCGTGGTGTAAATATGATAATCTGGAGCCTAGATAACCGCTTTGTCCTTGCTGCCATCATGGGTATTTATCTATTCATCTAATATTTTAAGGTTGCCATTGAGAACTTCATGGAGCCTTGAACATAAAATTGTAATGATTCATGTTTGACCGAAGAATTTGTTCTCATACCCTTCAAAAGCTGATGCAACACCCTCTCCCCTCCCTAAATGAATAGAATATGTTAAAATGTGGAACTCACATCACATGTAGCTGGAGTTAAAACTTCCTGTGATCACCTTGATGATATGTTGAACATAACTTGCCGTTGATGCTTCATTTATTTAATGCCTGTGGCTCATTTCATTTCTTATGCATCTGTAAAGATTTTGAGTCAAGTGGTTGACTTGGACCTTCATTTCCTGTGACAACTTTCATGTCTATCTGTTGAATGTTATTAGCAGTATTTTGCTTATTAAAACTGTCTTAATGGTGTTGAAGCTGAATTGCCCCCCCCCCCCCCCAAAAAAAAAAAGAGTTGGAGCTGTATTTTTCCGTTAAACAAATCTATGGTTTGGTCATCAGGAAGGCTTCAATCAAATGTAACAGAAGTTTAAGAAATCAACATGAGTGCTTTTCTATCATTTAGTTGAGTAAAACATAAAGTCTCTTTAAGCTGTATTTGCTGCTGAGCTACTCTAGCTATTCAGTGTCTTCAACATAATGTGCAATGTATCCTTTTCCAATATTGGTTCTACACCCAATTGGGAAATTTAAAAGGTTATCTGGACTAGGGCATAAGTAGCTGCAGATTTTGTCTAAAGAACATATTCTCATGATGCAGATTGCAGAATATGTGTATGGAATGCTGCTGATGGTAGCTTGGTACATTCTTTGTCTGGTCATACTGATTCTGTAAGTTGTTTACATTTCCAAGCCTGAATTATTTTCTCATGTTTGTAGTATAATAGCTATGGTCTTCAATATGTTTCTTCTACATTTATTGTGTTATTATGCCACAATTCAGATTAATTCATGTGGTTTCCATTTTAGCTGGTGTATGTCGTCTGGGTGATATTTTGGCTGGATTATTCTCTTCTAATTTAAATGCTCCTTTGCATCCCTTGTACTGTTTATTCGAGCTCTTGACATCATTTTGTTCCCTGTTTCTGATTTTTTGATGGAGCATCCTTGTTGACAATTTCCACCTAATTTCTGACCTGTGATGTTTCATTTGCTTTCCTGCTCTTAGCCTCTTATTGTTTTCTTGCAAAAAAGTGAGAAATGAGTTCATTACCATATTTTAGTTGGTGATTGATTTTGAATCATTCTCCATTGGCAGTTCAATCTGCTTATTTTTTTATAATAGTGTTATTTCGGGTATGGTTCAAACGAGAAGGGTGGAATTTTGCGATTTAATAGCCAACTTTCATAACTAGCTTATACTTTTGAAAACAATCAGAGTGAGATTTTCTGAAATTTTACATGTAGGCATTGGGATAAGGTCCAAATTGTATAAAACTAAGGAACAATGGGAATCATAACTAACATACCCCAAAATGAGACCTACTGGACCACAACTATTGAACATTCGAGCATGTGTAAAATACTTTATGCCCCCGGATCAGAATTCATTTACTGATATGTTATTGATGTGCCACCATGAAATCGTTTTTAATCAGATCTTGAATAACTTCTGTTCTGCTTTATTTGCTCCCATGTTTACATTATGACTTCCAATTCTAGTGCTTGTGATTTGACGGTATCTAATGCTGGATGCGAAGTTGTTTCATAGTTATATCTGACCATTTTACTCATTTATTTAAGACATATGTTTTGGATGTTCATCCTTTCAACCCACGGATAGCAATGAGTGCGGGCTATGATGGAAGAACCATTGTCTGGGATGTGAGTTTCAAGCTCCTTCATGCTCTGTGAAGTATCTTTGGGTCTTCTCTGTTGCTTGACGTGTTTTATTTTTCTTTTGACTGTAGATATGGGAAGGCACACCAATTCGAATATATGAAATCGCTCGTTTCAAGTTGGTTGATGGAAAGTTTTCATCGTAAGTTCACTTGGAGAATGGTTGATTAGAAACTTTTTATTGTGTCAATTCAGTATTATTAAAAATTAAATAGTTTTATTCATCTTATCAAGCTTGCTTTAGCATCATGTTATTTTGTTTGACAGGATATACTTTATATGCATAAATGAATAGGCTGCTTAATGAGAATTCATAGTTTTCCTTCCTTTTCACTATTTAATCAGATAAGGCGTTGCTCTTCATTTTTCTTTTCAAAGTATCTAGACAATGGGAAACTTACGCTTTACTCCCTTCCCTACCCTACCCTGTATCTATACCCCTTATTCCACTGTGATGCTTATGACCTTTTATTGGATTGCAAATAGAATTAAGTACTATCATTTAGGTGGATTACAAACTTTATCTTATCCTCATTTAAATTACATTTGAATCTTTATTAGAAGTCTTCTCCCTGTGTTTTATATTGCAATATCATAGTTACTATATCTTGTTCATTGTATTTGTAAAATAGGGATGGGACATCCATTATACTTTCAGATGATGTTGGTCAATTATACATACTAAATACAGGCCAAGGTGAATCTCAGAAGGATGCCAAATATGATCAGGTACTTGTATTTTAACTTGCTATATTTCATCTGGTTTTATTACAAGTCAACTAGTTTCAACAGCTTTTAATTGTACTTACTCTGTGTACACTTCATCAACAGTTCTTTCTGGGTGATTATCGACCACTTATACATGACACCTCTGGGAATTCACTTGATCTGGTTGGTTGACCATTTTTTAACATTTATTGTTGCAACTGTCCTTTATATGGTGGACTTGCATTTAAAATACTGAGAAGTTAACATAATGGTTCTCTGTTAGCGCCATCATCTTAAAGCTTAAAATGGATAATATTTACTGCTTGGTTCATTGCCCTTGTGTCATTTTTACTGGGAATTATGTTTCCTTTTTTTTGTTCGGAGTATTTTTCTTCTCTCTTCACTATTCTAGCTCATCATTTGCATGGCTCATGCATCCGCATGTGTATTTAGAAAGAGAAGATGGTGGAGCATATCGAAGTTTATGTTAAAAATGTGTTCTAGCTTATATGCCATCAATGATTTTGACCTCATTTCTAGACATGTGGGTCTAGCAGTTTTGGCTTTTTACACCTTTGTAAAGAAAATATTTTCTTTGCCTTTAAGTATATAAAGGTGCTCATATTCCATCTCTAATATTTTGCTGAGTTTTCAGGTAATTAAACACTACATTTTCATCGCTGAAATTCTGATGATTTGACATTGTAATTCAGGAAACTCAGCTTACTACGTATATGCGGAATATGCAAGATCTTCTTTGTGACTCAGGTTTAACTCTACTCATAATTGCCCCAAATGATTGATACATTTTATTCCATCGGTTAATTATTGCTTGGGTTTAAATACTTTAGGGATGATACCATACACAGAACCCTATCAGACCATGTACCAGAAAAGACGATTGGGTGCTTTAGGTTTGGAGTGGAAACCTTGTGCTTTGAACCTTTCTGTGGGACCAAACTTCACTCTAGACCAGGATTACCAAATCCCACCCTTAGCAGACTTAGATGCAATTGCTGCTCCGCTGCCAGTATTCTTAGATGTCATGGATTGGGAACCAGAAATTGAAGTGCAAAGTGATGATAATGATTCAGAGTATAATGTCATTGAGGAGCACTCTACAGGAGGGGAGCAAGGAAGTTTAGGTTCTCTCTCTGGTGATTCTGAGTGCAGTACAGAAGACAGTGAGATTGATGATACTCATAAAGATGCCCTTCGCCGATCAAAAAGGAAAAAACTGAAGGCTGAAGTAAGTTTAATATCCTTTTTTACTATATTTTAAGTTTTTAGAGGCTCTTGGTTAACTTGAATTTTCCTCCACTGCAGATTGAGTTTATGACATCTTCTGGTAGGCGTGTTAAAAGAAGGAATTTGGATGAATGCGATGGCAACTCCTTCAGTAATGGCCCTATTAGGAAATCAAGAAATGGAAGGAAAGCTTTACGGAGAAAGTCTTCTACATCAAAAACTTCTTCAAAATCATCGAGACCTCGAAGAGCTGCTGCACGCAATGCTTTACACTTCTTTTCTAAAATAACTGGAACATCAACTGATGTTGAAGAATATGATTCTGAAGGTGACTCATCTGAGAGTGAATCTATGATACAAGATTCTTACGTTGAGAGTGATGAATCTGATGGAGATTTGCCAAATGGACAAATCAAACTTTCAAAAGGAAAAGAAGTTTTCTTTGGTGAGTCTGAGGATGTTGCTAAAACCAATGCACTTCCTGAATCTCATAATGCTGCTGGGAATAGGAGAAGATTGGTCCTTAAATTTCCTGCGCGGAATCCAAACAAACTTGTACTACCTGAAAGCACAATGGAAAGAAAAGTTGACATACAGGAAAATTCAATAGGTCTGACGTGGAAAGCTTCTGAAGAAGCTACTGAAGGTGGTGTAAAACATATAAGCTCGCCAAATATGGGGTGTTCTTCTGTTGATGCTAAAAATATCATGATTGGTAGAGTAAGTGGGCAATCAGACAAGGTTGAAGATAAAGATGGGGGACATGTGGCAATTAAGTGGGGAGTAGTTAAGGCTCGTACTTCCAAACGTCTGAAATTTGGTGAACCTGTGTCATCGGATGCATATACTGGATCTACGCGATGGCTTTGTGACCATAAAGAAAAAGAAAATGTTGCCAATGGATATGTAGAACCAGAAAAGGCTGGTGCTACTGTATCCCTGTGTACAGATATCAAAATTTGCAAGGACGATATGAATGGTAAGGTGACAATGTCGGAGAAGAACCTTGGGAGTGAAGTGGAACTTCGGGATGATCCAACTCACGCTGAGGACCATTCAGGTCCTAGTGAACATATAAAATATCCTGATTCACCAAAATGGGTTAACGGATCTTCCGAGGATATGCATACCCTAACTTCTCATCTGAATGGACAGCTTTCTGAGGTAAAAGAGGGCCATATGCCTATTTCAACTAAGTTAAGATTTTTGTCAAAAAGTACAACTATTGACAATGAAAATCCTGGGTTGAAACTGAAACTATCAAGAGGTCATGCGAATGGTGGAAATGCCACTTTAATTGATAGCTCCTCAGAGAGGGCAAAGGACATGGTTTCAGAGGTACCCTTAGTTGATAGATTCAATGATATCTGTTCAGATAATGAACGTGATGGGTTTAAAGAATCAGATGCCCAAGTTGATAGAATTCCCATATCAACTCCTCTTGATTTGGTGGGGTTACAACCAGATTCAAAAAAGATGTATAATGTTGTTTATCGAAGATCAAAGACACAGAGAGATAGGTCCAACTCAGAAAATGCTGATGCCATGGTAGAAAGCACTAAAATTGAATCCAGCCTTGATAGAAGTATGGTAGGGGACCTCCATGAGGGTTCAACAAATGGGGCTCCTATTAAACGGTCCTGCAGGTTGAAAGGGCATGAAATTCAATCAGAAGATGTACATAGAAGCACCTGGGGTAGTTCTACAAATGGATCTCAACTTCCGAGTGAGGAATGGGGATCAAGTTCAAGGATGGCAGTTGGATCGAGGTCTACTAGAAATAGGAGAAGAAATACCTATTTCAATGACCCTAGTCCAATACGGAAACCCAGTCAATCAGCCAGAAAAGGGTCATGGTTAATGTTGACAACACATGAGGAAGGGTCTCGCTATATTCCCCAACTAGGTGATGAAATTGTATACTTGAGACAGGTAAGATGAAATTAATTATTTTTATCTGTTCCCGTTATACTGTAATTTTGACGGTTGGTATATTTAGTTACAAAGTTATTTACATTTGGTAGCTTCTATTCTTCAGGGACATCAAGAATATGCAGCTCATATTGGCTTGAAGGAAGCAGGACCTTGGACTTCATCTAAAGGAGGGAGCTTGTTAAGGGCAGTGGAATTTTGTAGAGTTGAAGGGCTTGAATATTCTACGTCTCCGGGGTCTGGGGATAGTCGCTGTAAAATGACGCTCAAATTTACAGACCCTTCTTCCAGCATGTTCGACAGATCATTTAACTTGACTTTACTGGATATGACTAGTTTCCCCGACTTCATTGTAGAAAGAACTCGCTTTGATGCTGCTATGAATAGGGAATGGGGCACCAGGGCTAAGTGCAAAGTCTGGTGGAAAGATGACAGCGGAGATGGTGGAAGCTGGTGGGATGGTCGGATTGTGACTGTGAATCCCAAATCTTGTGAATTTCCTGACAGTCCTTGGGAAAGCTTAACTGTTCGGTACAAGAGCGAGCCCAAGAATCCACAACTTCACAGTCCATGGGAACTCTTTGATGCTGATTTGCAGTGGGAGCAGCCTCATATTGATAGTAAGATCAGAAACAATCTACTTTCCACCTTTGCCAGATTGGAGAAATCTTCACGCGAAGCTCAGGTATATGGCAAGATATGAGTTGTATCTTTTTCCTGAACTTCAAATAATTAATGAAAAGTACTGGATCAGTATCCAAGCTTGAAATTGAGACCTGCCAAATCACTTATCACTCAAGCTTAGTTCAAGCGACACTCTTGCATTGGGTTGAATTCTTATTAACTTTCGCTTTAAAATGTTGCAGGATCAATACGCAGTAAATAAGTTGAAGCAAGTTTCACAGAAGTCTAATTTTACAAACAGGTACATCTCAGGAGTTGTGTTTTACATGCTTATATGAATGTTGTTCAATCACCAGTTATTAATAGGGTCAGCATTTGTAAACATAGAGAGAAAGGTGCTAAAATTGTAATTAGATTTGGAAAGGCTTTCCCCTCCCACCACCCTTACCTACAAAAACTCTGTGGCCTCGAGGTTTAAAATGCGACCGAATGTTTGAAATCGCGGTGTTTTGGCAGGTACCCTGTGCCATTATCGATCGATGTTATTCAGTGTAGGTTGGAGAACAACTATTATCGAACCTTGGAAGCAGTGCAGCACGATATTCAGGTCATGTTGTCGAACGCAGAATCTTACTTTGGGAGAAACAAAGAGCTCTTATCTAAACTCAAACGCCTGTCCGAGTTCTTTTCGCGGACATTTTCATCTTTGCAACCTTCATAGATACATCTATAGTGAAGAGCCATCTTTGTAGATAATTAAAAGATTTTTTTTTGCTTAAATCCAGTTTTGGTTATTTGATTTATGCTCTCAGATGAGGGGTGGAAAAGTATCCACCAGAAAGGTCCATTGTTGTTTCAGACCATTGAAACCGAATATATTGCCAAAATGAAAAACATCTGCAGCCTAGGTTGTTCGCTATTAAATTGAAGTGGTAGGCTATTTCGTTCCGGTTCATATTGGTTGACAATAATTTTTATGTACAAGTAATTTACAATGTCTAATTGATGGTTTTAAAATTTATATTTGTACATGAATATGTTTTGCATATATTACTTGTCATTATTTTAATCATTTTTTTACCTAATGTCTTAGATTGGGCTGGTATAGGTAAAATGTCTTAAAGAATCTCTTCTTTTCTTGAAAAATACAAAAAACATATTCATTCACATGATTCAAAACGAACTTGTTGCTGAATCAATGGATGCTCGCATGATTATGCAAGGTAATTTTTCCGACAATTTTCTATCACAATTAATTATTGGTGATTATTTTTATATCTTTTGATAACTTGAATGACTAATTTATACTTGAATGACCCAACTAAAAAATAATCAATAATTTAGAGTTATACACATAATTTTAATCCCAACTAACTAATAATTCTCTCTATATATACAAGGCTGCTTATGAGCGAGTTGAGCATTGTTTGACTCATGGTCGTTAAATTTTTTTTTGTTTCTCAACTCCACTTGTTGTTTATTAAAATTTTGTTTAACTCGTGCTCGTTAACTTCATTAAAATTTTTATCTTACTTTTTTAAACTACAGATAAAATCTACTAATACTATAAATTAATAGATTAGTCATTCATCATGTTTTTATTATCTATTAGTAAATCAATAGTTTTTTAATGAAATATTTTTTTAAATAACTACTAAAATTTATATAAAAAAATTACCGAGCTACTAGCACTTATCAAATCGAGTTAGACTTTACTCTACTTAATTCATTAAAGTCTTAAGTCAAATCAACCTGAATTAAATTTTTATCGAATCGAGTCCAAACTGCTCACGAGCTCAACTCTATTCTTATCTATATATATATATATATCGGAGTGTGAATCCGACTTGGATAACTCCCCCATCTCTCTCTCTCTCTCTCTCTCTCTTTTGCAGGTTCCATTTCTCTCCCATTTTCTTTCTACCCAAACACCAAAGGGAAAATAAACAAATTAAAGAAAGGCAATGCATTACAGTCCAGCTCTATCTTTCTCTCAACCTACCTCACTTCCTACAACTAATTACGCTTTTCATTCCCATGTCGATCTACGCTTCTGCGGACTCAGAAGGCAACCTTCCGGTTTTTCATTTTCAACTCACTCCGCTTCTACACGAGTTTCACTCTCCACTCCTGCTCGTGGACATTCCAACAAGATCTCTGCTTCATCCGGCAACAATGGAACTCCTAAGTCCTTCGATTATGACTTGATTATCATCGGCGCCGGCGTCGGTGGCCATGGAGCTGCATTGCATGCTGTCGAGAAGGTCTTTTCTATTTTCTTTTATTTTCACTCCGTTTTTTAATGCTATTTGGCCTTCTCTTCTAGATAAAACTGAATGTCTGTATGTTTTCCCCTCAGTTTTGACGCTAAGCTCTATCTTTTAGCTGTAACTAAAAATCTTTTTGTCTTTTTGTCTCAATTTTGACGATATTTAGCTTTATCTTATAGCTGAAACTGAGAATACTTATTTCACTCCAATTTAACGCTTTTTAGCTTAATCGTTTAGATGAATCTGAAAATCTATATGTTTTTCACTCAGTGTTGACGCTATTTAGCTCTATCATAAAGCTGAAACTGTGAATCTTTTTTTTTCACTCTAATTTGACGATCTTTAGCTTAATCGTGTAGCTGAAGCTGAAAATCTATGTTTTTCACTCAGTATGGACTCTTTAGCTCTATCATTTTAATGAAACTGAATTTCTTTTAATTTTTTTACTCCATTTGACGCTATTTAGCTCAATTTTCTGTTTTCCACTCAATTAGTCAATTATTTCAATTTATCTTTTAGCTAAAAGTCTGAAACTTACTCGGTCTCTCTGATTTTTTCCTGGTTCTTTAGTAGAACTTCTTAGGAAATGTAATTATTAGGAAAGAAGCCTCTGTAGTTATTCAGTTGAATTTGCTTTTCCTGCTGTAAGTGATTTTTGTCTTTTTGTCTCAATTTTGACGATATTTAGCTTTATCTTATAGCTGAAACTGAGAATACTTATTTCACTCCAATTTAACGCTTTTTAGCTTAATCGTTTAGATGAATCTGAAAATCTATATGTTTTTCACTCAGTGTTGACGCTATTTAGCTCTATCTTAAAGCTGAAACTGTGAATCTTTTTTTTTCACTCTAATTTGACGATCTTTAGCTTAATCGTGTAGCTGAAGCTGAAAATCTATGTTTTTCACTCAGTATGGACTCTTTAGCTCTATCATTTTAATGAAACTGAATTTCTTTTAATTTTTTTACTCCTTTTGACGCTATTTAGCTCAATTTTCTGTTTTCCACTCAATTAGTCAATTATTTCAATTTATCTTTTAGCTAAAAGTCTGAAACTTACTCGGTCTCTCTGATTTTTTCCTGGTTCTTTAGTAGAACTTCTTAGGAAATGTAATTATTAGGAAAGAAGCCTCTGTAGTTATTCAGTTGAATTTGCTTTTCCTGCTGTAAGTGAAGATCAATGGTGCATTGATCGTGGATTGTTGTCCCCCCCCCCTCTTTTTTCGAGAAATTAGTACTTATGGTCCGATTCCTTCTTTAATTTTCTGGTGATGCTTTGCTAGTGCAGGGTTTGAAAACTGCTATCATTGAAGGCGATGTTGTGGGAGGAACCTGTGTTAACCGAGGTTGTGTTCCTTCAAAAGCTCTCCTGGCTGTTAGTGGTAGAATGCGTGAACTTCAAAATGAGCATCACATGAAAGCTTTGGGTTTGCAGGTAACAGGATTCAATTGTTATGGTTTCGTTTTAGAGTTAGGCTGAGACACGTCTTCTATGTTACTTGGACTTGGGTGCGAGGGTGGGTATGTGTAGGGCACAGGTATTATCAGATTTTTTTTTCTTTTATGTTTTTTCCATGAATTTGAAGGATCCTTCTTTGGAGGTCATATCATGTCATATCCATGTGTCCGGCACAAGTACTTAAAGGAAAATGAAGAGGAGCAACATACCTCATCATTACTTCGAAATATATCACTATTTGCATTTAAACTGACATTTTTGTGCTTTTAACCGGGAAAAAAAAACATGTTGATAGTCTCTTAATTTTAATGTGAACTAGTCTATCAGCTAGCCAGACCAAGCTCACCATTTGTTATCCTGATTATTTCCTTCTTTTCTGTTCTTCTTTGTTACATATGGTAGGTTTCTGCTGCTGGATATGACAGACAGGCAGTTGCTGACCATGCAAATAATCTTGCTTCAAAAATTCGAAGCAATTTAACTAACTCAATGAAGGCACTTGGAGTAGATATATTAACTGGTTTTGGTACTATTGTGGTAGGCTAACTTGCACTTTTAACAAAATTCAGTCTGATTTTTTTGTTCTCAAGTATCCTTATTTTTCTAAATGTGTATTCAGGGTCCCCAAAAGGTGAAATATGGGAAGGTTGGTTTTACTGACACCACTGTAACTGCAAAAGATATCATCATTGCTACTGGTTCCGTCCCTTTTGTTCCCAAGGGCATTGAAGTTGATGGTATAATTTATGCCTTTGAAGTCTTACTTATTCCATTAATGGTTTGATAAAAATAATCTGGGTGTTTAAGGCAGAACGGGCATTTGATAGTATCACTACCCATGATACGTCTTTTGTTCTGTCTTCGTCCTCTTTTACATTTTAATCCCTAGTTGGGGCAACTTTCATGAGATTTTTAGATGGCCATATGTTATGTAACAGGTAATAATGTATCAGTTCAACCAAGTGAAAAGTGGAAGCAAAAGTTTGTATGAACATTTCCTAGTTATTCAATTGCAGCTGAACCAATGGGAATTTTGCATCTGCAACATATAGATAATGTGGTTTGGAAACTAGAAATCTCATCCAAGTCTTTCATAGATTTTTGGGGATTAATCCCAAGATTAGTATTAATTAACAAATAACTGAAATGTGTCTTCCGGAAACCTGACAGAAATTTGCTTCAAGAGAACAACTTTCAGAATTTAACATTTATAGAGTGATGCATGAATTGCCTAGCTGTAATATTCTCTGTTGTTATTGTTCTATTTTCTTCTTCTTTTCTTTCTAATTATTATTATAAACTGCAGGGAAGACTGTTATTACTAGTGACCATGCCCTGAAATTGGAGTTTGTTCCTGACTGGGTTGCAATTGTTGGAAGTGGTTATATTGGTCTTGAATTTAGTGATGTATACACTGCACTTGGCAGTGAGGTGATAACTAATTCTTTTCTTTTTCTATCTTGTATATTTTATGAAATAAATGTAGGAATCTTGATATGAGGATTCAGAGACTCTAAATTTACCTTTTGTTTCAGATTAAAAGTTTCTTTCTCCTGAAATCTCTAAGTACTTGAGATGAAGAATGCATTGAAGTTATGCTTCTCAACTCTAGGATTAATCTATGCTATCTCCAAAACTCCAAGCTGGGAGGATCTATGCTCTTTGTTGACTGCTATTGTATACCAAATGACTGCAAGCCAACTTAGACCATACAAAGCATGCCCCTATTATAGATACATTCTCCTTGATCCAATTCATGATTGAATGAATTACAGATAAGCAATATCCTAGTTGACTCTCTTATTGGGGATCCTACTATTGCAGATAAGCTTCCCTATCCTAATGTTAAAAGGAAAACCGTTCAGAGTTGGCTTCCTCCTCCAACTCATTTTTTTAAGTTTAATGTTGATGGGGCGGTTAGTGGTGATGGGCTAGTGGGTGGTATTGGAGGTATTTTGAAGGACCCCAGCTGTAATGTCTTAGGGTCTTTTTCTATTAGTGTTGGCCCTTGTCTTCCCCCTTTGGCAGAGTTGAAAGCAATAGAAAAAGGCATTGATTTCTTTCTCACATCAGCATGGGCTAAGGAGGGAAGATTGATCATTGAGAGTGACTGTAAAGTAGCTGTGGACTGGATTATGTGGATGGCTTCAGCCCCTCCTTTCTTTACTTCTTTGGTTGGGAAAATTGTATCTATTATTTCGGAAAGGGGGTTTATTGTTAGGTACATTTCTAGAAGTTGCAATTGGGAGGCAGATTCTCTGGCTAAACAAGGGATTGGGTGATGTTTTGTATGTGCTCTGCCCCTATGTAGTTTGTGCTGGGAGTCTGTTTTTTGGATGGTGTGTTAGGTGTTTCTTTATGTAATTTGTACGAGTTTGATCTATTTATAAAACGAGGCACTTTTTTCCCCCTTCCGCTGACTATAGAACACCGTTTTGGTGGTCCGTTAATCATGAGGGGGTTTTTAATGAGACCTCACATTCCTATAAAAAAAATGAATTACCATAAACAACAGGGATAGATTTTTTTTTTTTGATAAAAATGGGAGGCCTCATTAAAACCCCCTTTCATAACAACAGGGATAGATGTCAGTCACTGAAATCTCTATTTGCCTTTTATTAATGTTCTATGGCTGGTACAAAATTATAGCATAACTTAAATGCCCTTGAGTTTTTATTCCAACACAACAATGCTAATGTTAGAGGTTTATGCAGGTTACTTTTATTGAAGCTCTAGATCAACTTATGCCTGGGTTTGATCCTGAGATTGGTAAGTTGGCCCAAAGGGTGCTGATCAACCCAAGGAAAATTGATTATCATACTGGAGTGTTTGCAACCAAGGTAATCTACTGTTTCGATCTGTGACTGTGTACATTCCTGTTCTCTGTTCGATAAGTGGTTATTGATTTTCCTTGGTCTTATTTATAGATCACTCCTGCAAGGGATGGAAAACCTGTCATTATTGAGCTTACCGATGCCAAGACTAAGGAACACAAAGACACCCTGGAGGTATCTGCATAATGTTTATTTTTCTTATGGGAATTCTTGAATCTCCCAATTCACTTTTGGCATTTATGGCAGTCTATTTATTTCTAGACAATGTTATCATGTACTGAAATTGCAGTCATACGATTCTGTTCCTGATGTCAAATCTATAAATGGTATCTGGTTAATCGCATTCATTGGTATCTGGTTGAGTTTTTTTCTTTTTTTTCTCCAGGTAGATGCAGCCTTAATTGCTACTGGAAGGGCTCCATTCACTAATGGTCTTGGCTTGGAGAATGTATGTCTTCTTCATGAATACTGTTGGATTATATATGATTGTCCATTAAAAGGAAATGAATCAGAACATGCATATTCCTTTTTATCAGATTAATGTAGCGACACAAAGGGGTTTTGTTCCTGTTGATGGGAGAATGCGTGTAATTGATGCAAATGGAAATCTGGTTAGTTGCAAAATTCTTTCTAACATATATTTTACACATATTGACTTCAAACAAACACTAATATGTTAAGTTTGAATGCCAGGTTCCTCACCTTTACTGCATCGGTGATGCAAATGGTAAAATGATGCTTGCTCACGCAGCAAGTGCACAAGGAATTTCCGGTAAGTGCCTGCTAACTTATTCTTTGCTCAATTGTAACTGATATTTTTGTTTAGATCCATTTCATCTTTTGCTTAAATATCTCGATTCAGTTGTCGAGCAAGTCACTGGAAGAGATCATGTGCTTAATCACCCCAGCGTCCCAGCAGCTTGCTTCACTCACCCTGAAATAAGTATGGTTGGTTTGACAGAGGTGAATACAGATTCGCAAACATCTCAATATCTGATTTATTATAACGTTTAAATTGGTTGAAACTTTCTGATGTAGCCTTATATTTATAAGATTTACATGTTTTTAGGATCGTTAGATGTGTGAAAATAGATGACTAAGATTATTGGTAGAAAGTGAAAAGATATTCGTTGAAAAACACAAGGAGATAATCTCAGCCGTCTATTATCACTTATCCAACTATCCTAAAAACATGTAAAACTTACCCTATATATATTACAAAGCTTTTCTTCAGAATACCTAAAATGGTATTCTTATGGCGTTAAATCTGAAAATTTGACAATGCTCTAACTTCACAGCCTCAAGCAAGAGAGAAAGCTGAGAAGGAAGGGTTCGAAGTAAGCATTGCGAAAACAAGTTTCAAGGCTAACACAAAGGCACTGGCAGAAAATGAAGGCGAGGGACTTGCTAAGGTTATTTCATTTATCTTGAAACCTGCCTCAATCAGTTAACATGATAAAGATATTGCAAGAAGATAATTTTCATTTTTTTCCGCGTACTTCTCCATTGTAAAAAGTTTGTTTCCTGTTTTTCACAAAAATGCTGGAAACAAATATTTGTCAGTTCTAAAAGAATATCTAATCGAAGCTTATATCTTATATGGTGCTGAATTCTTAAAATAAATGATTAAGGAAAGGTTTCATTTCTTTGATAGAGAAAGAACCAATGACGATGGACTATGGTATCTCTGTATCCTTTGGTTTGGTTTTTGCTTCTCATTCGAACTTCGTCTCAAGCCATTGATATAATTGCTAAGCCCTAGGTATGATTCTTCCATGCAGTTGATTTACAACCCGGACAATGGAGAGATTCTTGGAGTTCATATATTCGGCTTGCACGCAGCGGACCTCATCCACGAGGCATCAAATGCCATGGCTTTAGGAACACGAATCCAGGTGAGTCTTCAGTGTGAAAACCAAAATATTTTCGGTTCACGAATCTGTTTCCTGATTACTTGGCGAAGCTTTGAAATTGTAAATATTTCGAGTTTGTGCCATTTAGGACATCAAATTTGCAGTTCATGCGCATCCAACATTGTCGGAAGTTCTTGATGAACTGTTCAAATCGGCAAAGGTCAGTTTTGAATCCTTCTTATAACGCTCTCAAGATTTATGATCTTGTAATCATGCACTCAAAAGGCATAAACCATGTGATTTGGATACTCTTTTAGATAATCATATCCCTTACCAACCATGTCTTAATATCTATTGTATACGAGTTGTGGACATGAGAACTCGATAAAAAAATGAAGAGTCGGAGTAGCATGGTGCATAAATATTTGCATTACTCCGAATCAGAAGCGCAACGAATCCCTATACACTATTTGATTTTATTGCTTAACCAGGTTAAAGCCCCTGCATCTACTAGCAGCCCAGTAAGCGAGCCGGTTTCCGCATAAATGCTTCTCAAAGCACCCGAAACAAAAACCGCATAATTCTTTTAAGAGCTTGGGTTGGATTAGGGACTATCGAGGAACCTTGTCTCTCCCGGTGACAGACATCGAAACGGCGTCTAAACTGCGAGAGGGAACATCTAGGAGGAATTTACTCGTGTTGATGGTAGTTGTGCCTGAAGTTTTTAACAGCTTTGTGTCATTGTTAATACATATTATTGTGCTCATAGTTTATTTCTTGCAAGCTCGTATTCCTTGTCCTCCTCGAAATGATATCCAGTATTCGGACATTAAAAGGGTAAAATGGTCACACTGAGGAAACAAATTGTTGTTTCGCGGATTATTTCCATTTCGAATGTTTGTCCTTTTAAGGGGTAAAACAGTAAAATGATTAAATAAGTCGTGTTTGTTATTATGCATTTAAAAACTTTATAATTTAAGATTATTATAGGTAATATTATTTCATAATTATATTGTTAAAAAATATTATATTGAACCGAACTGATAATATGATACCATTTTGGTAATGTTAAGCTTCTTATTGGGGATGCTCATCAAACAAGTCGATTGTTAATTGAGCAGTGTTTGACTCGTTAAATTCACCCGAAAAATATCTATATATATGCAAAATTTAATAATAATATATGAAACTTAATATAAATATAAACTTAAATACCTATTTTTCAATTAAACCTTAAATATTTTTTTTGGAAAAAAAAAAGAAAACTAATCATTAGATGATAATAGAGAATTTATCCGAAATCCAACCTAGACAAACCTAGGACAGATCTATTCAGCTTTTTGGGCTAGCCTTTGAAATATATATAACCCAACCAACCAGCATCGCTTAAAGAATTAGCTGTTCATAAAGTTTATTTCTTGATATTTTTGAACTGATATACAAGCAACCTGGCACCTACATCAACCCTAATATCGGTGAGTATAAGCATGGACCATTACTCTAAACCAAGCTTTTCAACTACTAACTAAACATCCGATCATAACTCGAACAAAAATGCTTCCAGATCCGTAGTAGCTAACCTCAAATCGAAGGTTATTGGTTGACGTTGGTTGTTGCATATACAAACTCGGCTACCTAGAGCTATGCTTCGCTTTGATGTGATTGTTCCTGAATCTTGATGTTCTTTCAAGCATCCTTGCAGGAAGAAGGGTTGAGGAGGCTTTGATATTCCAACTGCCAAAACAGGATTTTCCAGGTAAACTGATGAACAAAATCGAATCAACCTCTGCTGGATTTCGGATAATTCACTAGCCAACTTCATTTTCCGGTAGTCTTGTTGTGCTTTCTTTGACCGGAACATAGCTTGAACACGTACAACAGCTTTCTCAACACGTTGTTCGGCTTGTTTTCGGCTGGTTCTGAAGAAATCCTCTTCCGTGTCACTTTCCGTACTTTGCTCTGGAACTGCATCAACTGGGTTAATTTGCAGTCCACGCAAACCTTTTCTTTTTAATCGCCATCGCAGAACTGCTTTCTCAAGCACACCAACCGACCAGACAATCTTACGGTACTGCTTCCTTGTTAGTAGGCCTCGGAAAGCTGCCTGCATTAAATTTCCAAGCAATGTCTCTATTCTGAGCAATCCTCACTTCCTCAGCCACGAACAATGAGAAAATAATTTTTTTTTCATAATAAACCATCGAAAAGATGGAATCGCAGAAAATAATCTTACACTATAAAAAATGTCTGTAGGAAAAAACCGTATATCCAAATGAAAGATTAATTTTGATTTAAAAAAAGGGTATTATATCATAAAATTGGACCAATTAAAGAGAAATCATCCTACTTACATTTTACAGTCCCAAAGTGAAGGAAACAAATAAATTTAATTTTGACATATATATGTATAGGGCTGTAAATGAGACGAGACAGATCGCGAGCTACTCGAGATCGACTCAGTCAAGGCTCGTTAAATACTCGGATCGAACGTACTCGACTCGAATACTTAACGAGCCGAAATGAGCTACTTGATACTCGACTCGAAAAGCTCGTAAGCAGCTCGAAAATATAATATATAAAGATTTTTTTAAAAATAAACTATTAATAATATTAACATTTATGTGTTGAATTTTTTTAAAAAATACAATAAGATTTTCATATATTTAATGTTCAGGTTCGAGTTTGAGGATTCAATCTTGTTAAGTTTAAGAATTTTTTTTTCATTTCGAGCCTTTTCGAGCTGCTCACGAGCTTCAGTTTAGGATTTCGAGTTCAAGTCGAGCTTAAAAATTTTAAGCTCGCGAGTTTTCGAGTCGAGTCGAGCTCCATTTCAGAGTTTTCGAGTCGAGTAACTTGAGCTCTACTCGGCTCGTTTACACCCCTATATATGTATAATGCAATACTCATACCAATAGAATAGTAAGAAGAAAAGAAAGGATATTTACTTGGATTCTGACAGCATGGCGACGCATATTAAGGAACTCTCTACGCATTTTCCAAGTACGGAATCTATATTGGATCCGGGCAGCCGCAGCCATCTGTCTTTTGGCCTCATAGTTGCGATAGGCATGTTGAATCTTCATAGCTGCAATGATAATCCGTGCTTCATCCTCTGGGGTGGAAGACTCGATTATTTTAGTTCTGATTTTCAAGGAGTGTGTCCTGAATGCATTCTGTATGCGTGCAGCTGCATCAGCAGCAGTCCTGTAAGCTGCTAAACTTTCCTTCAAATACAGTTCATCTTCATTAAGGTTATTGGTGTTTGTTGCTTCTGTTCTACTGGTTTGAAGAGAGCCACTAGCATTCCCAGCTACAGCCATATCATTGAACTGCGCTACTAGAGCCTCTTCAGAAAGATAAGCAGCTAGACCATCGTAACCCTTTGAAGATGCTAGATCAGCAGCCGTGCAACCATTTGGATTTTGGGTGGTGGGGTCTGTCACCAAATTTGGCTTTGCACCAGCAGATAAAAGAACAGCAACCATTTTTTCCCTGCATCGAGGATTTTCAGAAGTGAGATACAAATCGAAACTGATTCAAGATTGACAACTATATTAAAGACCAAAGTTCAATTTTTTTGGAATTTACAACTCTAGTTCTACTTTGGAAGTAGAAGATATGAAGATGAATTTTTCAAAAATTTCAGTGGAGCAAAGTAATATTCTGGAAAAAGAATTCACGGAGGAAGAAATATGGGAGACTCTACAATCATGTGATAGCATCAAAGCTCCCGGCCCGGATGGTTTTAATATGGGCTTCTTCAAGAAATTTTGGGTTGTTCTTAAGGTTGATATTCTGAAATTCTTTCATAACTTTTATTTAGGGAAAGATTGGGAACATGGAGTAAATCATACTTTCATTACTCTTATCCCCAAGGTGGCCAATATTGGTGGATTAGATGACTATAGACCTATAAGCCTTGTAGGAGGTTTGTACAAGATCCTCTCAAAATGTCTTTCGAGGAGATTAAGGAATTGCATTTCTGATGTAATGAGCCCTATGCAGTTTGCTTTCATTCCAGGTCGTCAAATTCTGGATTGTTCTCTTATAGCCAATGAGGGGATTGATTTTTGGAGGAAATAGGGACTCAAAGGATGTGTGTTTAAAGTGGATTTTAGAAGGGCATACGACACTGTGGATTGGTCTATTCTTTTTAAGGTTATGGAGAAAATGGGTTTCGGTTCTAAATGGAGAAGTTGGATAAAACAATGTGTTACTACTGCTTCTATTTCAGTTTTGATAAATGGGGTACCTTCTCAGGAATTTCCTATGGCAAGGGGTCTCCGCCAGGGCTGTTCTCTTTCGCCCTTGCTTTTTAACTTAGTTGGGGAACTCCTAAATGTCTTGCTCTTAAAGGTTGTCTCTGATGGATTGTTTTCTGGTCTGCATATTGGGAGGAATGAGACTGCTTTCAACTTATCTCATCTGCAATTTGCAGACGACCTAATTATTTTCTGTGGGGCTTCGAAAATGGAGATTTCAAATGTTAAAAGGGTTTTAAGAGTGTTTGAAGTTATGTCTGGTCTGCAGTTGAATCTTAAGAAAAGCAAGTTATTTGGTGTTAATACGACTACAGAGGAGGTGGAGGAGTGGGCGTCGTCTATTGGCTGTGCAGTGGGGAAATTTCCTTCTGAGTATCTAGGTCTGCCGCTTGGTGCAACACGGAATTCAACCTCTCTTTGGGATCCGGTTGTTTCAAAATTTAACAACAAACTAGCAGGTTGGAAAGCTGCCACCCTTTCCTTGGCAGGGAGATTAGTTTTGATTAAATCGGTTCTCTGTTCTCTTCCTACTTACTACTTGTCTATATTCAAAATTCCATCATCAGTAACTTCTAAACTCAACTCAATCATGTCTAAGTTCTTATGGGGAGGTGGAGCGGAGAAAAATAAGATTCATTGGGTTAGTTGGCTTAACGTGTGCAAGCCAAAGGAGGCTGGTGGTTTAGGAGTGTTAAATATTAGCAATATGAACAGAGCACTATTGGGGAAATGGTCTTGGAGATTTGCTAATGACAAGGATGTTGTTTGGAGGAGAATGATCTGTTCAAAATACAATATTGATCCTTTTTCTTTATTGTTCAATAGCAAAATCCCAGCTCAAGCTTCTTGGATTTGGAGCTCGGTGGTGAATTCTTATTTTAAAGAAGACTCTTTTGGTTGCTATTTCCGCAGCATGTTCAGACTAGGAGTTGGGAATGGTCAATTTATTCAGTTTTGGCAGGACAAATGGGCAATGGACTGCCCTCTTAAGGTTTCTTTTCTGAGGCTGTTCGCAATCTCTACAAACCAGTTTGGAAAACTGATTGAATTTGGCGAGTTCAGTTCTTTGGGATGGATCTGGAATATTCAGTTGAGGAGAAGCTTAGCCGATTGGGAATTTGAACAGTGGGCTAACCTGATGGCTATCATTTCTAATTTTTGTCTGTCTAAAGAGGCAATCGATGGTCTGATTTGGAAAGGAAACGGAACTGGTGTCTATTCTGCTAATTCATGTGTGAAGACTTGTTCTTTGGCTCAGAAGGAGGATTATATTTGGAAGAAATTTGTGTGGAAAGGTCTGGTGCCACCAAGAGTCGAGGTATTCATGTGGCAGGTAGTTCTTCAAAAACTGCCAGTGAGGTCTGAACTGGTTAAGAGAGGGGTTACGGGTATAACAGATCTTTCTTGTCCTCTATGTAATTTGGAGGTTGAATCTTCTTCTCATTTATTTTTCTCGTGTTCAGTTGTGTGGTCACTTTGGAACAAATTTGTGCAGTATTGGAGTCTTTCTGTGGTTTTTCATACAAAT